TAAAAGCCTATCATCCAGATGTTTTCTAATTGCACAGGTAGCATATCTGTTTAAATATATATTAAACCCAAGAGCCTATAAACATTTTTCTCATTAATGTGTATGTTTGTATACTGTAATTTTATTTTATTTTTTTAATTATGAAAATTAGTTATTTCTGCTCATTTCATACATGTTATTGTTCAGGAAACAGTCACAGACATCTCTGAAATGATGTACTTATCACGCACTCTATTTAAAGGCAAAGCACCATAAGTAAAGCTGATCAGCTGTCCAAACTTCTCAGCTTATGGAATCGCACTTCTTGATTTTATATTAATTTCTGCAAGTCAGAAATGTTATCTCCAAAAAATGTTAATGGGTTGTAAAAAAATAATTTTATTCAATATTATAGTTGTAGATATGGAGTATACTTTAAGAAATGAAAAACTAAGAAGAAAATGCCACTTAACATCATTGGTATGTCAGTCAGTATAGTCTATAGGAAAAAATACTGTGATAAACTTGTCTTTGATACGAAGAAGAAATTTTATTTATTTACTTATTTTCTTGAGACAGAGTCTTACTATGTTGTCCTCGGTAGAGTGCCATGGTGTCCCAGCTCACAGCAACCTCAAACTCTTGGGCTTAAGTGATTCTCTTGCCTCAGCCTCCTAAGTATGCTGAGACTATAGGCACCTGCCACAACACCCAGTTATTTTTTGTTGTTGTTTGGCAGACCTGGGCTGGTTTTGAACCCGTCAGCCTTGGTGCATGTGGCTGGCACCCTAGCCGCTGAGCTACAGGCGCTGAGCCTGAAGAAGAAATTTTAGTGTGAACTTGAATACACTTCACTAGATACTTCTTTTACTGCAGCTCTTCCACATTTCATACCAGAAGACTGGTACAGCCTTTAAAACTTCATTTACAGGAGCAAATCCAGTATCCATTGATTTCTTCTCAAAAGGCACTCTAACCCATCAGATAGCCCAGCAGTTTCATTCTCATGAATACTCTAGCCGTGAAAAAACTCAATAGGACACAGATGAATCCAGTGAATAGAAGAAGACATCTATTACGTTTTGGAATAGTCGGTGCATTGGATCGGTCTAGGATTACAAAACCTAAACCTCCCATTGTAAACAGGAAGCTGGATGCAAGTCCTTCCATAATATAGTGTCTATTTACTCTGTAGGCCAAGAAAGCCTCTGATACCCATGTTCATCAGTCATAGAGCCAACAGTTGGAGGTTCAACGATCACATCATAAGTTATTTCTCTGGTGATGAGGAAGTAAGACACCACCACCAGAGTGTACACCATCACGGCTGATGGCATGTGCAACCAGGGCAGCTTCTTCAGCTTCAGGTTGGGATATTCAAGCACTAAAAACGGGACTTAGTGCAAAGTCTCCATGTTGGTGGCAGCTGTGGCAGTTCTTGGGCTCAGAGCCCCACATATTGCCCGGAAATAGGCCTGCTTTCTTCTACATTGTAATTTTAAAATTTTACATGGTGATTATACTAGAAAGTACTTGACTATCTCTCAGTGCACACTAAAGGTCTTTCAAATTATTATTTAAAAATATTACAATAGATAATCTTGTACATGCAACTTTGTATACAGTTTTGATTATATGTAAAAGAAATACAAAAGCTTTATCTACAGATTGCTACCTCCCTTCCAGAAAGAAATTGCTAATTTATAATATCCCGGTGAGGGAAAAGCAGGTGTATTTTTCCCATAACTTTGTCAACATTGTATTCTGATTTGAACTTTTATCAATCTGTAAGTCCAAACCACTATTTTTATTTACTTAAATTTCTTTGATTAGGCTGGCATTTCTTCAGGTGTTTAGCCACCCTGTCCCCCCTTTTTGACTTGCTCATTCACATTTTATTACATTTTCATAATATAATACTTCTATTGGCTTGCCTTTTCTTTTTTCATTTGTAATAAATGAAATACATCTTTAAACTAAGATGTAAACTCAATGCATGTCATGTATGTTAAAAATACTCCTCATTTTGTTTGTGGTTAATCTTGCTTATACTTTTTTAAAAATTAAAAGAAAGTTTAAAATATTTACGTGTCAAATCTATCAGTTTTTAACCTCTTAGATAATTTCTAGAAAAGTTTATTTTCCCTAAATTTAAAATAGTAAAGTGTAATCAATGTAGAA